AACCACGCCACTCTTACGTCCGCTGCGGGGTAGCGGAGTACCGCTCAGTATAGAGCGATTCGCGCGGTGCCAGAGTCAGGGAGCAACGTCCTCGTTGTCACGGCAGGAGCTCGCCGCGTTTGTGCTGTACTCGTTCTGGCTGTTTAGGGCGCGCCCAGAGGCGCGAGGCACCGCAGGGCGCGTCGTCAGCATCGACTTCTCCGCCCCCGTCGTGGAGCGCATGCGCGCGAGACACCCCCACCTCGAGTTCCTCCGGATGGACGCCAGGAGCACGTCTTTCGCCAACGCGAGCTTCGCGGCCGTGCTCGACAAGGGGCTCTCCGACTGCCTGGACTACTGGCAGCTGCCCAGCTACTTCCGCGAGCTGCACCGCGTGCTCTGGCCCGCGGGGCAGCCCGAGGAAGGGCACTCCGGGGTTCTCTCGGGACCTCGCAAAGGGGGGGGGGCGCCACGGGGAGGGGGGGGGAGTTCGGTCCGCTCCCCCCCCTAACAGGGGGGGGGGGTGCGGGACCTCCCCGAACTCCCCCCCCACCTAACCGTGGGGGGGGAGTTCGGTCCGCTGGCGCATCGAACCGCAGAACAACGATGCCAAGCGAGGTCTCCGGCCGCCGCCGGAACCGGCGCGGGGGGCATCGTTTCTCGGAAATTCGATGCACCAGCGGATCGAACTCACCCCCCCTCAGGGTCCCCCCCCCCTTTGGTGGGCCCCGATTTTCATCGTCGTGTCCATGCGGAGACTGGACGACGAGCACCTCGGTTCCGGCTGGGCCTGCGAGCCGAGCAGGCAACACATTGAGAGGGGGATTCCCTCGGACTGGTTAGAGCGGGGAGGAGGAGGAGGACGAGGAGGAGGAGGACGAGGAGGAGAAGGAGGAGGAGGAGGAGGAGTTGAAAGACGAGGACGAGGACGAGGGCAAAGAGGAGGAGGAGGAGGAGGAGGAGGAGGAGGAAGGAGGAGGAGGAGGTGAGGAGGAGGAGGAAGGGAGGAGGAGGAGGAGGAGGGGAGGAGGAGGAGGAGGAGGAGGAGGAGAGCAGCGAGAGCAGGAGGAGGAGGAGGAGGAGGAGGAGGAGGAGGAGGAGGAGGAGGAGGGGGAGGAGGAGGAGGAGGAGAGGAGGAAGAGAGGAGGAGGAGGAGGAGGGCGGAGGAGGAGAGGAGGGGGAGAGGGGGAGTCATATTCTGAGTTGTATAGGGTTATATAGGGAGGTGAGGTGGGAGGTGCTGGGTGGGAGGTTGTTGGAGGACCGTAGAGATGGGAGGGTCGAAGAGAGGAATAGGAGGAGGGGGATGAGGAGGAGGAGGAGGAGGAGGAGGAGGAAGAGGGAGGAGGAGGAGGAAGAGGAGGAGGCAGAGGGGAGCGGAGGGGGAGGAGGCGAATGAAGAGGGTGGGGTGGAGGAGGAGGAGCAGGAGGAGGAGGAGGGCGGGAGGGGGAGTGGGAGGGGGAGGGGGAGAAGGGGGAGGGGGAGGGGGAGGGGCAGGAGGAGGAGGAGGAGGAGGAGGAGAAGGAGGAGGAGGAGGAGGAGGAGGGGAATGATAAGGAAAAGGCCTCCAACGATTTTTTTTTCTTTCCGACCTGCCTGTTCCTGCCGGGGTTCCTTCCCCAGAGCAGTTGTTGTTACCGCCGCACCGCTCGGGAACGGCACCCAGGCACTGAGAGTGGCGAGAAGCCTCCAACGCGACGTTTTGTGTGTTGAGCCGCCAGAACTCCTGGGGAGGGAGGGCGGAGGTGGTGGAGGAGGAGGAGGAGGAGGAGGCGGAAGGAGGAGGAGGAGGCGGAGGAGGAGGAGGAGGAGGAGGGGGAGGAGGTGGAGGCGGAGGAGGACAAGCTAGGTGCGCTCGCGTCATATCTGACATCCTACCCCTCCCTCCCATCCCTTATCATGGCGTAGATCCCCTCTACTCGCACAGTCGGATGTCGAGCAGGGCAATGACCCCGAAAGGGTACGCGATGCATTGTAGAGCACGGCATGGCATGCCGTAGAAGAGCACCGCAAAGCGTAGTATATCACAGCATGGCGTGGCGTGGCGTAGTGAAGAATTGCATCACAAAGCTTTGCAACGCAAAGCATGGTATCGCACAGCGGCCCCGAACAAAACATTGCATAGCATGGCGTTGAAGATCAAAGCTTAGCATGGCATAGCATGACGTTGCACTTAAGCACTGGATATGACAGCTGCAGCTGAAGGCATGGTATCGCGCAGCGGAACGCAACCTGGCATTGCATTGCATGCCGTGGCATGGCACGGGAAATGACGCCAGCGCTGCAGCGGGAACACGATTCGGAACGAGCGGAAGCGCGGAAATGAGGCCAGCGCTGCAGCGGGAGCACGATTCGGAACGAGCGGAAGCGCGGAAATGAGGCCAGCGTTGCAGCGGCAGCACGATTCGGAACGAGCGGGAGCCCGAAAATGAAGCCCGCGCCCCAGCGAGAGCATCATTTTGAAACAAAACCCAAGCGAAAACCAACTCCGGGAAATCCTGTGTGTAAAAACAGTACGCGGAGGAATGTCCGCTATCTTGCGGACGCCATCAGGGGATGGAGGAGTGTAGTATTCATATTGTGTAATTGTGGAGGCGGAGGAGCCGCACTAACTCCTGGGGAGGGAGGGCGGAGGTGGTGGTGGTGGAAGAGGAGGAGGAGGAGGAGGAGGAGGAGGAGGATTTGCTGCTGCGCTGCTCTGCCACGATTCTTCGCAGTCCTCCTGGCGGCCAGCCAGGCAGGCTGTCGAGCCCGACGCCTGAGACGCGGCCAGCGCAGGAGACGTCCATGCACGCTGGGCTGCCTGCATCCTCTGCAGGCCGCCCGACAGGGCCATGGCATATGCACCCGTGGCCGAGACCAGGAGACCGCGCCGCCGGGCGTCAATCAGAGCAAAGCCCACAGGCGCAGGTCCTGCGGGCCACCCGACGGGGCACGTGCCCCCGTGGCCAGGACCAGGAGGAGCACCGTGCTCCGCGAACGGCGCGCGAGACAGGGCACGCCAGGAGGCCGTGCTCCGCGCGCCCTGCTCGGGGTAGGGGGCGCCGGAGGCCGTGCTCCGGTGCCGAGCCTACCCACCACCCACTCCGTGGGTGGCCGCGGCGACGAGGAGCAATTTTCTCTCCCTTTGGCCCCTACGGGCACACAAGGGTGACGATCGGGCTGCTATTCGCCTTTTTTGGGGGGAAGGGGTCCCAGTGGTACAGGTGTCAGGAGGAGGAGGAGGAGGAGGAGGAGGAGGAGGAGGAGGAGGAGGAGGAGGAGGAGGAGGAGGAGAAAGAGAAGGAGACTGGCGGCGGAGGCTGGCCCGGGGAGCCTCCCCCTCTCGGCACGTGGGGCCGCAGTTCGTGTCCGTCTCGGAGCTCGGGGCAGCCAAGAGCGGACAGATGATGAGATGATGAGCAGTGTGGTTCGTCCGCTCTACCGGTGCCGCTTGCTGTCGGTAACGAGCCGGAGGGTTCCAAAGGGGGGTTTTTGGGAGGGGGTTTTCCAGGAGGGGTCCCCCACGCACCCCCTGTTTTGACGAGGTTCCGAGGCCCCTGGGGGGCTCTCTGGAAAACCCCTTTCCCTATAACCTCCTTTGGAACCCTCCGGACGAGTGAAGTATCATGTGCGCTTTCACATTTTTCGTATCGTTCCCTTCGCCTGTAGACTACGGGACTACTGTTCGCGCCGTTGGCGGATGACGACGACCCACGACCACGACCACGACCACGACCACGACCACGGACGACGACGACGAGTAGAAGTCGCAAGAGGAGGAGGTGGCGGAGAGGGAGGAGGAGGAGGAGGAGGAGGAGGAGGAGGAGCAGCAGTAGGAGCAGGAGGAGGAGGAGGAGGACTGCGACGACGACGAACAACAGCGATGATGACGAGGACGACGACGAGGAGGAGGATGGCGAGGAGGAAGAGGGGAACGACGCCACCGACGACGACGACGCCGACGCCGACGCCAACGTGGACGCCGACGACGACGACGACGCGCCTCCCCGAGGAGCACCGCCCGGCCGAGCCGGTGCCCGGCACCGAAGGGAGCATCCCGTACAGCGTCGCCGTGTGCCACAAGCGCGAGGCCTTTTGGTCGTTGCCGTCGCCCGACGTCGGCGTCGCCCGTGGCCCGTCGTCCGCGATCGTGCTACGTTCCTCCTCGTCCTCCTCCTTCCCCTCCTTCTCGTCCTCCTCCTCCTCCTCCTCCTCCTCCTCCTCCTCCTCTTGTCGTACGACGTCGTCGTCGGCCGTGGCCCGTCGTCCGTGATCCGTCGTCCGTTGTTGCTGGACTAGACGTAAGAGTGACCTTTCGCCAGAGCGGCCTTTGGTGCGAAGCCCACTGGGGTCCCCCGATCGCCGATCGCGATGCGATGGTAGCGTCGTGGTTTCCCCGCGGCCCCCCTAAATCCGCGCACCAAAGGCCACCCTTACGCAGGGTCACTTGACGTGTAGCCGAGTTGTCTTCGTCGTGCGCCGTCCGTCAGGATAGGGTTAAGTCGTGCCTGTCCGTTTACAGAAGGCACATTCAACAATTGCAGAACCATAGTATGGGGCGATTTTTGTTTTACTATTTTGGACCGTTCTGGGGCATCGCCTGACTATTTTCATTTCTTCCCCAACAGTCCCCCTGTAGGGGGACCCGCCCGAGCTAAGGATAGGGAAACCATCATGGCATGAAAAGCATAAGCAGGCCGAGGTCCGCCTCTCTGCTCCTCGCCTCCCGCCCCTCAGTCAAACTGTTGTCCGCCTCCTGCCCATTCGCATTCCCCCCCTGGCGCGACGGTGCGACTCGTTCGTTGGGCGCCGCGTAATGGGGGGGTCATAAATGGGGGGGTGGCGAGCGTGGTCCGAAAAGGTACCCAAACGGTACCTAAACGAGCCCCCTGGGGCTCTGGAGGGGCCCGAAAGGGGCACGAAAGGGGACCTTTTCTGACCCCCCCCATTTGTGACCCCCCCATTAAGCCACGCCCGCCCAGGTTCTAGGCCTCCTAGGCCTCCTGCCTGGGCTGCCTCCAGGCCCTCAAAGGGGGGC